CTCTTTCCCATGGTCTGTAGTGGTGGCAGGGTTGTGGCATGGTTCAACCTGGGTTCAGAGTTCAAGGAGCATTTAGGTGATGCTCTTAGCCATATGGTTTAGCTTTAGGTAGTCCTGTGAGGAGCAGGGGTTGGACTCTATGATCATTATGGGTCCCTTCTAATTTGAGGTGTTCTGTGTTTGCTGCCTTCTCTTGCTTCCTGGGGCCATTAGACCCTGCTCCATGGGAAACAAGGGTTTAGGGATTTGCTCCAATGTGTCATCTCTCCCTTTTCTCCCCTTATCCAGGAAGCCGCGGCTACTGCTGCTCCCTGTTGTGTGCCAGAGAAACCTCTTCTCCCTGCTGCTCGTGGTGCAAGCACTGGTGCCAGGGGGCTGCCTCGACCGGCTGCTCCAGGCTCTGGAGCAGGATTCCCATGTGGATCCCTGGGTGTGGGCGCTGGGGGATCTGCTCCGGCAGGGAGCAAGGGGAGAGGAGTGCTGCCCACCTCCTGGTGCCTTGTCTTCCATGTGCCAGCAGCAGCTTAAGTGCCTGGGCCAGAGAATTGCCCAGAACAAACCAGAGGGGCGAAGGAAACTGAAGTGGTGCTTCAGCAGACAGCCCAGTGCCACCGGGGATGGGGCTGACTCTGTGATTCACGGTGGGAAGCACAAGGAAGTGTCAGAGGAGAGGCTGGAGTTGGATCAGGAGAGAGAAGGGAAGAGGATGCTGCTGGAGGAGGTGGTGTTTGACCCCCCAGGAATGCAGGAGGTTGGGGATGTGGCAGGGATGGAAGAGGAGATGCCAGAGGAGCCTTCAGGAGATGGATCTGCCCAGAGTCCAGATGGGGCTGCTCTGGAAAGCTCCCAGCAGGAAGCAGCCAGGAAGATTTCCCAGGCAGAGCTGGCAGTGGAGGTCCAGTCCTTCCTGCAGGTACCGGGCAGGGTTTGCTTCCCCCTTCCAGCCACTGACCCTTTACAGTCTGATTCCTGTTCCTTCATCTTGTTTTCTTCAGCTGCATGGACCAAGGCTGAAGATGCTGCTGCAGAAGGAGTCCAATGTAAGTGTGCTTCTGCCTCTCTCCTGGAGCTGATGGTCTCAACGGGCTCAAGACGGGGGCTCTGGAAGGGGTGGGAGAGGAAGTGGATTGCTTCCCCCTTCCAGCCACTGACCCTTTACAGTCTGATTCCTGTTCCTTCATCTTGTTTTCTTCAGCTGCACGGACCAAGGCTGAAGATGCTGCTGCAGAAGGAGTCCAATGTAAGTGTGCTTCTGCCTCTCTCCTGGAGCTGATGGTCTCAACGGGCTCAAGACGGGGGCTCTGGAAGGGGTGGGAGAGGAAGTGGATTTCACAGCGATGGCTGGAGGCTGCTGCCACCTCCTCTGGGCTCAAGTACCTGCCTCTACCTCACAGGGGTTTGCTGTGTGATGGGCAGCCTGTGGGTCAGTGCAGGGGGTGGCAGTAAAGAGAAAAGCCCTGGAGCTGTTATTTCGTGGTTGGTCTGTTGTTACTCAAGGTCTGTGTTTCTCTCCAGCACCCGGATCTCAGCATCCCACCCGAGCTGCACGTCCTGAACAACTGCTCTCCTGCCCAGGTGAGTCCCAGCATGCTCACTGCAGCTACTGGTGCTGCTGAGGGCCTGCTGCTGTCCCTAGTGTCCCTAATGTCCCTGTCCCCTCTGCCATCCCAGCTCGAGGGGCTGTGCTCCTTCCTGCAGCTCTCCACGTGCCCGGAACACCTCCTGGTGCGTTTCTGCAGCTGGTTGTTGGTTCTCAGCCCTGAGCTCAGCTACAGCAGCGCGGCCACCCTGGCACAGCAGCTCTTCCTCAGGCGAGTACGTGTGAGGACAGCAGAGACTTCCTGCCCCCTGCTTCCCTCCCCACTGTCCCCATCTGCCTTTCCTTGTCCGTAGGTCCTGTCCCTCACCCAGCCGCCCTCCCGACACCTCATGGCTGCCCTCACTTCATTTTGCTCCAAGTATTCCCAGCCCTTCTGTCGTGTCCTGGTGGCTGCGGTCCTGCAGGAGCCAGGGGAAGGTGTGATGGTCTCGCAGGAGGCTTCCTCTGGCAGGAGCTGGAGAGGGGCCATGGGCTTCATACATCAGGAAGGGAAGCCCTAGCTTCTCCTGGGAGACGTTTATCACCCAAAATACGTTAGAAACCATGGAGGAATGGTGCTGGGTTTATCTGGGCAGGTGAACACTTGGGAGTTAGGATGGGAGATGGGTTTACAGATGCCAGGCTGGCTCCCAGCATCCGTTTTCCCAAAGGGAAGCTGCCTTCTCTCTCTGTGGACTAGAGGATTCCTGCCAGCTCCTAATGCTGGGGCCAAAACTGCCCCAAGCACGTTCTGCTGGCATGAGAGGAGAGTCCTGCAGGTATCACTGCTACGGTAGCATCCCCTTCTCCTAGGGATTGGTGCTAATTAAACCCTTGCTGCAGATGGGCAAAGGTTTATCCTGAGCAGTAGAAGGGAGTACTGCATGCTTTCTGGATGTACCCCTGTGTGAAGGGGTGCCAGGGAGGGTTGGACACATCCCCATGGATTTGGCAGCCTCTGCAGGCTCTCTCCCCCTTCTTGCTTTACCTTTGCAGGTGCTGAGCAGACCAAGCTGGTGTGCGAGCTCGTGGAGGAGTGCCTGGAGCCAGACTGTGTGCGACTGGTGCTAAGGTAAGAGGTGACAGGAGCAACAGCTCCACTTGATGGGTCCGGGTGGCTCCAACCGTGTGAGCATCGTATCTTCTCTTCCCCATCATTTGCAGCCAAGTCTTGGAGGTGCCTTTGTAAGTTCTGGCCGTGCTGGGGCGGCAGGTGAGGGTCCCCCTTGTCCTCCGTGTTTCCTTGCCGGCTCCAGCAGCACCGGAGCAAGGACCAGGTCACCTCCCTGCTTGTGGCTCTTCCAGGAGGTGCTGCCCCCTGAGCTCTTCGATCTGCTGGTGCTGACCCTGTGCCGGCAGGCTCCAGCCTTCAGCACGTCTCTCAATTACGCCAAGCTGGTGATGGCCACGCTCACCATGTACCACAGCCAGGTGAGTTCCGCCAGGCTCGGGCCGTGGTGAGCGGCCCCGGGGGGCTC